AAAGTATACATGTCCTAGGATATGTGCGTATTAAAAAATCTCTGAAGCAATATTTTATACATTTCCTAAATAGCTTCGGAATTGTATACATTTCCTAGAAATAGTATACAATTCCTAGAATTCATACATTTCCTGTAACATATATATAGATCCCCCTCCTTTGTCAATACTGATAAATTTCTTGACTCTTTAAATAATGTCTTGGGTCAACTTAAACAGTACAAACAAATAATAATCGTAGGAGACATGAATACATTAAACCCGGGAATAATGATCATAGATCTTCAGACTACCTTACTTTGTTGGCTTCCCATGGCTTACTTCCATCACATGAATTGCCTACTCGGGGAATCAACTGCTTGGACCATTGTTTCGTTAGAGCAAAGTCCCAAATAGAAACAATAATCTGCACGTCCACGGTCACTGATCATTCATGCATAGTCCTATCAGTAAACGGTGGTTCAAAGGGAATTATAAGGACAGAAATGCAGCAGTATAAAAAAACTGACTATAAAGCAGTTATCGCCGACGTAGTGAAAATAAATTGGCCGAATATACTGCTTACACTAGACCCAATCGAGGCTACCGATCGATTTCTTTCAACCTTAAGAGAAATAATAAATCCCACCAAAAACATTCTGTAAAAAACTAGCCAAGTCACGTTAGAGCTGCTTATTTATCTCTAAAAAGTAATGAAATCTAGACAAAGTCGTGCCAAGTCTATGATGGTTCCTTACTGCGATTTCTTTATTATTATAGTTAATGTTGTGTGACTTGGCCGTTGAAGGGTACAAAATCAGGTGCCATCATGACATCATTGCACCAATCTGTCGCCAGAACCGCTACCNATATTTTGTGCCGAAACCGAGTATGTTTTGAGGTCATCGTTTGCGAAGACGTGTTGACAGTTAATTAATGACCAACGTGGACGTCATGAATTTTAACGTAAATTCCTTACCAACCGATGAAAATTATCTGTTTTGCATATTTTAATTCACTAGGACAGACTAGTAATTACTCTTATTTTTATGTCAAATTAGACCTACTAAAACACCATAAGATATTACAGTATTTATCTTGACTTGTCGTCATAAATACTACGAAAATAACGTATTAAAGCTTTCTAACGAAAGGAACAAGCCCTTTTAACCAGCAGAGATGCCAATATTCAACAAAAAACTAACAAGTTGTCGCAAAGGGCTTTATACTTTATACCACAAAGCTTATTGAGGACAAACCAGTTGGCTTGCCAGTGGAGTTGGCATTTTTCTTTTATATCGTGACTTAGTTGAGAATTGACCAGTGCATTATTACTAACTTCGGCTGATATCAAAATACTTTAAAAATAAAAAATGATTTAAGGGGATGAGAACAGCTCAACGATATCGGCTCAGACTGCTTATTTGACATAATTACTTATAAAAAAAATTGAACCCTCCCAGTCGAACTTCCTAAATCTAACACAAGCATAATTATTAACTTTAGCTGCAGGGGTTAACGTGAGTAGTATTTTGTGCAATACAAATTAAAGTCATTTTAGTCTCTTTCAAGAGTCCAGTCTCTTATTGTTGACTAAGAAAGAGATAATTAAAAGGCTAGATTTCACAAATCGTATACGGGACTATTCCCACCTCTCGTTCCCACCGCTGCAACTCCTGTGTAGCCAGGATCTACAGCTTGACCGCCAATAAAAACCCAACCAGTGAAAGTCAAGTTTGTCCCGGGGGAAAGTTAAACTGTAATTGGACTCGCAACGACATTAATTAGAAGAACATAATATTATATTATCGCATCACAAGGTGGACTGACGACCTGATAAAGGTGTAAGGAGCTGGATGCAGGCCGCTACCAAACGTGCGATATGGAAGTCATTGGGCCTTCACCCAATGCTGACGATGATGATGAATATTGCACCATGAGAATGAAAGCGACTCATTTAAAAAATTTGGGGTATCAAAAGGAGTTTGAAATTAATTAAGGTTCGACTCCAGTCGCGGGCGACAGGGCGCAACAGGGCGTTCACTAATCGTATCATCCATCATCATCATCTCAGCCATAGGACGTCCACTGCTGAACATAGACCTCCCCCAATGCTTTCCATGTTACCCGGTTGGTAGCGGCCTGTGTCCAGCGCTTTCCCGCTACCTTTACGATGTCGTCGGTCCACCTTGTGGATGGACGTCCCACGCTGCGTTTTCCGGTACGCGGCCTCCACTCCAGAACCTTGCTGCCCCAATCGGGACAACTTCGAGTCAGTCTTAACTGTAATCGTACTGAACTAATCGTATACTTAAACGGTTTTACTGAAATGACTATGAGAGCTGTTATTTTCATGACAAAAAGTACTAATTTCAAAATGTTATAAGCCAATCCATTCTGTCCTCACCACACGGGAATCCCTTTCAAACCATTGACAGAGTCGGACAATGCACGTGTGCATCAACTGTTGTGTCGCTGTCTAAGCGTTTATGTTCACCTTGATGCTGGAATGAAGTGAATCGTTTGTTATTAACGCGTTTTCCAGTTTTCTTACTCAGCCCTTATTATTCGGCTTATTTGCTAGAAAAATTGAAAGTACATACACACTACTTCTGGCAAATAATGCTTTACTAATTGTTTACTGGAATGCTCGGCCAGAACATTTGAATTCAAATGCTTCAAAATAAGTCTTCAGATGAGTATGACTGTAGATTTTAATTAAAAATGCAATAAATTGAAACATCACTTTTGTGAGAAACATTTAAAACTTTATACACGTTGAAATCATTTAAGGTTTAAAAATGTTAGGTACATTGAATAAATTATGACAAAAAAACTATTATTATTTTAGTTATTTGCTAGTGGTCACAACAAATGACTATTTTGTAAGTTAAATGTGGGTAGCGAAGGCCTAACTACTACTTACCTCACTCTTTTTATCATCTTAATTAGCCACATACAGGTTCTTCTATTATATGTATACTTTAACTATGTGATGTACAATGGGCTTACTAAACGTAATGATACGATTTTAATATTATATATATACACTAACAAATCTACACACTGTCTCACTTCTGAGCTTACAAAACACAAAACACTTAGACGCTCTCACTCACACGCATCAACACACTACACCAACACAAAAAACTGCTTTGGAATGGCCACTAACTGTTACTCAAATCTTATCCGCAAGTTTAATATAAATCTTTACATTTTATTCGATAATGAAGGACTTAAGTAACATTATAACTGACATTGATAAAAATGTCAATGTCGGTAGAGTACAGTTGGTGGATGTACCAGAGCAGTGCAAAAACCACATTAGTTCGATTTCTTCCTTCAAAGTAGTCATTCAAAATATACGAAGCATTAATCGTAATTTGGAGGATTTTATTATTTTCCTTAATAGACTAGACATTAATGAAGACCTGATATTTCTTACTGAATGTTGGTTATCGAAATGTAGCAACTTACCAAATTTAGAAAACTATCATAAATATGCGACTACTAAACTCATTAACCAAAACGACGGTATTGTAGCTTACATTAAAAAGTCCGTTACTGCTAAGATTTATGAGCCAAAAAAGGTCTCTGAGATGAGTTGTCTTGTCGTCTCTGTCGACGAACATACAGTATACGTGTGTATATATAGATCGCCCTCCTTTGCCAATACTGATAAATTTCTTGACTCCTTAAATAATGTCTTGGGTCAACTTAAACAGTACAAACAAATAATAATCGTAGGAGACATGAATATAGACATTAAACCCGGGAATAATGATCATAGATCGTCAGACTACCTTACTTTATTGGCTTCCCATGGCTTACTTCCATCACATGAATTGCCTACTCGGGGAATCAACTGCTTGGACCATTGTTTCGTTAGAGCAAAATCCCAAATAGAAACAATAATCTGCACGTCCACGGTCACTGATCATTCATGCGTAATCCTATCAGTAAACGGTGGTTCAAAGGGAATTATAGGGACAGAAACTCAGCAGTATAAAAAAACTGACTATAAAGCAGTTATCGCCGACGTAGTGAAAATAAATTGGCCAAATATACTGCTTCAACTAGACCCAATCGAGGCTACCGATCGATTTCTTTCAACCTTAAGAGAAATAATAAACAAGCATACTTCAATGCACACCCCACCCTCTAAAAATAGGTGTATGAAACCGTGGGTTACGCCGGGCCTAATTCGTTGCATCCGTAACAGAGATCGGTTATTCAAAAGAACAAAAAAAGATCCCGATAATGTCATCCTCAAAATCAGCTACCTAAGATACCGCAACACATGTAATAAAATTCTCAAAAATCTAAAAAATGTTTTTTACTCAACAGAAATGCAAAGAAATAAATATAATCCAAAAGAACAATGGAATTGTATTAAAAAACTATGCCACTTAGAGAAAAATAAGGACTCATGTCAAGAACTATTAGCTGCAAAGCCAAACAAATTAGACTCACTCAATCATATCAATAATTACTTTGTTACTGTAGGAAGCAAACTAGCACGCACAATAATTAACGCTAATAACTTAGACGAAAATAACCTAGCAAAAACAACTAAGGATCAACAAAACACTACATCCACCTTTGTAATTCTGCCAACAGATGAAGATGAGGTCCGATCAACCATCTTATCTTTAAAAAATAGCTCGGCCACCGGATGGGATGGCATACCAACTAAACTATACAAGCTTGCTATCAATGCACTATGCCCACCCATAACCAATTTATGCAATAGCTATTTTGAATATGGTATCTTCCCAAACGCGCTCAAAAGATCTGTAGTAATCCCAATCTTCAAGTCTGGGGACAGAGACAGTTTATCAAACTATAGACCAATTTCACTACTACCAACACTGTCAAAGATAGTTGAAAAACTTATTAATAAAAGACTCAAATATTATTTGGAAAGCCAAAAATTAATATCAAATAATCAGTACGGGTTTCGTAATAAAATTTCTACCACTGATGCCACGCAACGACTCACAGCAGCATTAGTAGGGAGCATGGATTCAAACAAGAAATGTTTGGCCATATTCCTGGATCTAGCAAAGGCATTTGATACTGTCTCTGTTCCCATACTACTTGAAAGATTGGAAAAAATAGGTATCAGAGGTAACCAACACAGACTTTTTGTAGATTACCTAACAAATAGAACTCAATCTGTCCAAATCGGAGCTTTTACGAGTGAAGAGGAAAAAGTGAGTTTTGGTGTACCCCAGGGCAGTATACTGGGGCCTACCCTATTTTTGATTTACGTTAACCAATTGTGCCAGAAACAGCTCATAAATGGTGAAGTAATTACCTTTGCCGATGACACAGTACTTATATTCACTGGAGACAGTTGGAATGACGTGAATCGGAAAGCTAATGAAGGCTTCAATAAAATCAATGAATGGCTGATAAATAACTTACTGACTCTAAACACGGCAAAAACAAAATATATGGCATTCAGTATAAGAAGTAACAAACAACCCCTACAGAATGAAATTAGCATACAAGCACATAGCTGTAAAAATGCAAATACGCCATGTAACTGTCCATACATTTCGAGTACATCATCGATTAAATATCTTGGTCTACTAATAGATAATAATTTGAATTGGACGGAACACATACAGGCTGTAACAAGTCGAGTAAGAAAACTAATATATGTATTCAAAACATTACGAAATGTATGCGACAAAAAACAACTGGTCTCAACATATTACGCACTATGCCAGTCAGTGATTACATACTGTATCACATGCTGGGGTGGTTGCGCAAAATCTACTATGTTGGAACTAGAAAGAGCTCAAAGGGCAATTTTAAAAATTATGACATTCAAGCCCTTTAAATACCCCACTTACGAATTATACAAAAACCTAGAAACTCTCTCTGTTAGACAACTATATATAAAATTACTATTTCTAAAACAACATAAATTACCAAGAGATACCCCAACAACAAAGCGTAGAAAAGACATTATCTTTAAAACACCAACTTGTAGGACAAAATTCGCACAAAGATTTAGTCATTACCTTGGCCCTCACATCTACAATAAGGTCAGTAATTCGATACCCGATGTTTACGAGCAATCAAAATACTCATGTAATAGATCAATCTCAAATTACCTTAAACAGTTGAACTACGAACAAACTGAAGAGCTAGTTAAATCATATATAATGTGACACACACACATACACACACACACACACATACACACACACACACACACACACACACATACACACACACTCACACGCACGCGCGCGCGCGCGCTCACATACACACACACACACACACACACACACACACTTACATACTTACGTATACGCACCCACAAATTCACACAATCTGACAATGAAGAAGTTTCAAATATTGTTTATTAATTTTTTTTTATTTTTTTTATTGATAAACTTAAAAATATAAGCATCATGGCTGAAACTTGAATGGGCGGCCGGCGTGACGTCGCGGCACCGCCTATGTTTGAGTTCCATGCGAAAATATATACGTAATTTCAATAATTATTTTCTCAAACATTTCTTGATGGATTTAGAAATAAAAATAAAACCTTCACCGTCTTTTTAGCTCTGGACCATATTTTTAATCCCATTCGGTGAAATATGGTTTTTCAACATCACGAAACTTCTTCATTAACATACTTTTTATCTATGTATAATATGTATGTATTTACAAAAAAAAAAGGGATTTAAGTAAGTTTATATAGTTCTCGTAATTGTAATATTTAGTTTCTAAAAAATAAAAATGAAAAAATAAAAAAAATGTAACTACTTCTCACATGATAATTTTATCTGCTAGCTGCGCGTGTACTACGCTCCCAACAAGTACCGAATGCGCTGGCCGGTACATTTGTCTATCCATACCTGGCATTGCAAAATTAACCTTACTACAACGCCTTAGAAACCGCAACGTTGGAAGATGTGTACCGGCCAAACGTTGCCCGGTTGGACGATGACGAACACTACCAGTCGCAACACAGTTTTTACTTAGCGGCGGGTAGGGGACGGAATCTGATACATTTTGCCACCCTCATTATTGCTTATTCAGTAGTACTTTTTACTATTAATATAATTTATGTAAAACTATATTGTGTAAACAAACAATGTACCTACACTTACTGATAAGTTATGTTTTTGTTGATTAGTTAGTAAGAATAATGGATGGCTCAATAAAAATATTTTTGATTTTTGATTTTTTGATTTTGACATATTAATGTCAAAAATCAAACTGTTTGTTTAAATGCATGCATAGAAATTAGTGATTTCCTATCCTCCCTCAGCATTCGATACTTTCTGTGGTGGAAAATAAACATTAATTTGCAGCTCATTAGAAATAATTCAGAAACGTATTATTTGACAATTTTATTTATCTTTACAGCAATCGAGTATGAATAGATAAAAATAGTTTAGTTATTAAAATGACCTTCCAATTTAATAACAAAAAAAGAGATTCTCTATTTGGATACTCAATTGAAAACTGATTCTAAACTATCCTATTTACAGGTCTCCAATATAAGTTTATAAAACCTCAAAGGGGTGGAACACTCCTGATGATAGATGGCTACACATTTTACAACTTTCCCAAAAGCAAAGTCTGGGCATGTTCTAATAAAAAAATACAAAGGAACAAATGCTTTGCTAAAGTCAGGATGGACGGTGACGTCATCTCTCCATACAACCTGGAGCACAACCACCCACCTCCCAGATACCATGTTACGAAAGATGGACAGTACATCAAAATTTAATTTGCTAATTTTTAATTCATAATACTGCTCATTCTATTTCATTTTGATATCTTTTCTAATGTAACTAACATAACTTTGTAATATAACAATTTTCTTAAAATTCCTAGAAATAAACATTATGTCAAATAATAAAAACGATTTGTACATGGAAATATTTTTTTAAACTAACATTAATGTGTAGCCCATTAAAATAATTGAGAAAGTATTAATTGAGATAATAATTCATAATATTATAAAACCTAATTTTACTTTTTTTGTTGTTGTTTTCACCTAACATCAGGGTAACAGTACTGCTTACTGACTGTCCTTTGGTATACATATTTTATATGTGTATTTTTTTACAGAAAGCATGCGCAAGCGAAAAAAAAGTCGAGAGGAAATTATGCAGATACAAAAGCTTAGAGAGCGACGAAAGCGAGCAATGATCAGGAACGATCCTGAACTATACGCAGCATATAAAGAAAAAGAACGACAAAGATACCTCAAAAGGAAGAGGGAAGGTAAATTATTGCCAGTTAGTCAAGAAACTCCTGCACGTAAAAAACAAATAAGAAGGCGCAACAGGGAAAACTCCAAGGCGTATTATCATCGACGAAAGCAGAGAAAAGCTTTGGAAAATGAAGAACTCAGTCCGTATAAAATTAAAGTGAAAGTACATAGGGAAGCCACGATACGGTCTTCCATCGATTCGGAGTAGTGAAAATCAGACAAACATGGTATGGTAGAGTCGGCGTCAAATATTTCGTGACAGTGACCAAAAAGTTAATAACACCACCTTCTTCTAACTGAACAATTTATAATTTAACTATATACTTTAGGTGTCACAAATAATTTGATGCTGACTGTACCCAGCTCTTCTGACAGTCAAAAGATAGAGAACTAAAGTGGTCAAGTAGCTACCGAAAATCAACCACAGGCATCTTGCTTCACCTCCACCTGACTGAACAATTAAGTTTCATGGCAATAAATATGTTTTATTTTTATGAAGGATCTTTTTATTTACGTCACGCCCAAAAATACTTCATAAATCCAAAACTAGACACTACATTGAAGTGCCAAATACATAATACGTATGTATGTGTGTGTGTGTAGGTACTTTCATTATCGACCATTAGCGATTTGAATACGAAAAGTGATCTTAATCTGAAGGCTGTTTCCTGATTTACACGACATTTCTATAAATATTTTATTTATTTATTTTTATTTTTCTTTATTCAGAAAACCACAGCTCATTATAATAATAATACAAGCAGGTAGTTTTGTTCTTACATCCAATAATAAAAAAAAAATCTTTTCTACTGAATACTGTCAATTGACTAAAACTAAAACTAATTTACTTACAGATAGTATTGAATATAGAGTTATTCAAGCGCCAAGGAGTGGAACACATCATGATAGGTGGCTAGACATTTTACCATTTTAACAAAAAATGCAAAATCTGGGTATCTACACTAATATTATAAAGAGGAAAACTTTGTTTGTTTGGTTATAATGAATAGGATCAAAAACTACTAGACCGTTTTTAAAAAATCTTTCACCATTCGAAAGCTACATTATCCACGAGTAACATAGGCAAAATTTTATTTTGGAAAAAAATAGGGTTCCGTAAAATATGTAGATAATGTAGACAACGCGCGCGAAGCCGCGGGCGGAAAGCTAGTGTTCTGATAAAACAAAAAGAAACAAATGCCTTGCTAAGGTCAGGGTGGACGGTGACGTCATCACTCCATACAGCCTGCAGCACAACCACCCGCCTCCCCAATACCATATTACGAAAGATGGAAAATACTTCAAAATTTGATAGTAGGTACAACATTCTGCTCATCTATACTAATATTTTAAAGAGGTAAAGTTTGTGTTTGTGTATTTGTTAAATTGTAAGGGGTAGTCTCGGGATCTACTGAACCGATTTTAAAAATTCTTTCACCAATAGAAAGCCACATTATTGCTGAGTGTCATAGGTTATTATAAAAAACCGAAAAATTCCACGCAGGCAAAGCCGCGGCGGAACGCCTAGTTATAGATAAGTAGAATATTATAGTCTAATCATGTTGACTATTCTAACAATAACTAACTTAAGTATTTAGTACGTTATTTTATAACTGTTAGTAATACCAGGCCTGTTCATCTCCGCGAGTTTACATCGAAAACAAAACACGCACGATGGCCCCCTACAGGAGTACTATTCGACAAGGCCTCACATACGAGCGAACATTGACTCACGCACGCGCATTCTTGGTGTACTAAATACTGTGCAGTATTTAACTGAATAAATAATAATAAAAACATGTATGTACTTTTTTAGGTTTCCTGAAGACACTTAGAGGTAAATAAGTAGTTAATATTATTCATAGTAATTCATGCTAAATCATGTATTTCCTTCGCCATTTATAGGCCAGTAGAATTAGATTTTAAATCGGAAATAATTCCTACAAAAGATTTTATTGCTTTAATGGCTTAATTGGTTGCCCATTAAGACTCTCCTAGGTTTTCGACTTCGACGGAGTTGTGCTTAAGTGGTGGGGGCCCCCGAAAGGGGCGCTTTTTAGGTTTTCCGGTTATACCGCGTAAAGGACTTACCCTATCGAAAAGTGGTCTTCTTAACGGTTGAAGGGCATTTAATCCTGCATTAAATAAGACTAAATTCATATGTTTTGGACAAACCGTTCTCGTGCAAATGTTCGGCAAAGTAGAAAATATGTGTATAATTAACCCATTTAGACCGATAATTATTTTTGTAAATTATCCTGCTTTCGCCTCCGAGATTTATTTTACCATGTAGTACCCCTGTACGACNGTCCAACACTGTTGGACATGGGTCCAACACCTTGTATGGGCTCGATCCACCGTGCGGCGGGTAGGGGACGGAATCTGATACATTTTGCCACCCTCATTATTGCTTATTCAGTAGTACTTTTTACTATTAATATAATTTATGTAAAACTATTCTTAGAAATAACACCCGCTACGTCAGCGTGACGTCATATCGCTCGATCCTGTTGTCTCTGTCTTAGAGAGGGAAGGCACGAGAAACCGGCCGCCCCGCGCGCCGCCACACTTTGCTTGAGCGCTTGGCTGTGACGGACGTTCTCTCGGTTCAGGGACTGTGATATTTGTGACCTAGATCATTATTTCTGCCATAGGCATATTTCTTTATTACGTTAATTTGATTTGTGGAATTATTGGTTTCGGTTATGTAATAAATCGATATCTGCTGGTGCCGTACATTACTTTAAAAAAAGCACTCTCACCTCTGATCCTTAAGATCAGAAGTGGGATTGACCACGCGTTCTAACCGTTTTTGCCATCTATTTTTGCCTTAGTTTGTGATTATCAGTGCAGTGTTAAAAGTTAAGATGACCAGGCGTTCGTCTAGATTAAAAAAAGAACGTGATTATTCTCGTAAACAGTGTCGTGATAAAAGTTAGTTAAACGTCGGGTTTGTTAGAATATCGAATGCCGCCGTTAAATGAACGTGTGCATCGATTGAGTATTGAGTATCGAGGTAGGTCACCTAGGCGATGTGTACGCACTCCGCGTCGTAGTCCTATTGGGAATCGTGAATATTCACGTAGCCCTCATAGTGATTTTTGTAGGGGTTATTATTTACATTGACACTATCTTTATCGCCTAAATCTTCGTCAATCTGATCATCATTAGCGGTCATCTGACAAGACAGCAGTAGAAAAATACCAAGATTGCTTTATGTTTGCTGAAATTATCAAATTTTTCATGAGTTGTGGTAATATAGTGAAGCATCAATAGCCTAAAACAAATAAAAATAATAAATATTAAATTATATTTTTTCGCATGATTTGCTCATGCATAGACCTACTGTACCTTATACGGTACACCTATTTTAGACTGGAATAAACCGTATAAAAATAATCTCAATAATATTTTTTTTGTAGTCATGATATCTATTGTACTCTATTTTTTAAATAAATTTGATAAATAACATAATTTACTATGAATAATAAGAAATTATACCTTTTTAAATACATTGTAAATATTTTTTTGGTTTTCTGTCGAGGAATTTCATAAATATTTTCGAAACCACTTGTTAAAACATATTTTTAAATATTTTTATGTAAAATAATCACTTTAAGCTTACTGTTACAATCATTTTTACAAATTAACAACAGTTTGGTACTTCGAAATATTTTCAAAAAGATACCGTACCACATAGGGTACGGTAGGGCTAAATGGGTTAATGACCCTCTCCACGTCCAATAACTCGTCACCCGTAGGCTCCCAAGCCTTGTAAAGGGTCGCCTTAACCAGCGTATCCCTGTCAAGGCTCAGTAGCCTTGACAGGGATACGCTGGTTATCCATGTCTACTAGCGTATCCATGTCCTTTGGTATACATATTTTATATGTGTATTTTTTACAGAAAGCATGCGCAAGCGAAAAAAAAGTCGAGAGGAAATTATGCAGATACGAAAGCTTAGACAGCAACAAAGGCGAGCAATGATCAGGAACGATCCTGAACTATACGCGGCATATAAAGAAAAAGAACGACAAAGATACCTCAAAAGGAAGAGGGAAGGTAAATTATTGCCAGTTAGTCAAGAAACTCCTGCACGTAAAAAACAAATAAGAAGACGCAACAGGGAAAACTTCAAGGCGTATTATCATCGACGAAAGCAGAGCAAAGCTTTGGAAAATGAAGAACTCAGTCCGTATAAAATTAAAGTGAAAGTACATAGGGAAGCCACGATACGGTCTTCCATCGATTCGGAGTAGTGAAAATCAGACAAACATGGTATGGTAGAGTCGGCGTCAAATATTTCGTGACAGTGACCAAAAAGTTAATAACCTTCTTCTAACTGAACAATTTATAATTTAACTATTTCTATTTGGATACTTTAGGTGTCACAAATAATTTGATGCTGACTGTATCCAGCTCTTCTGACAGTCAAAACATAGAGAACGAAAGTGCGTAGGTAGCTACCGAAAATCAACCACATGCAACTTGCTTCACCGCCACCATCCGTTCTATCCAAACAGCACAAGACAAAATTGTTTATTATATTTAGTTATTTTGTAGACAGAACTGTTAAGTCTTATGGCAATAAATATTATTATGTTTTATTTTTATGACCCATTTTTTTAATTTACGTCACCGGCTCACCGCCAATCTCGTCACGCCCAAAAAAATACTTCATAAATCCAAAACTAGACACTACATTTAAGTGCCAAATAGGTACATAATACGTATGTGTGGTCACATCATTTTACCGAAGTCAGCCCTATAGCTTCGGCGCAGTACCGATCACTGACGTTTGTCAACAAAATGGTGCTTGACTCTTGAGACAAGCTAAATTACACCATATTGTTAATGACATTGAGCTTACATTTTTTTAAATACCTTCGCGAAGTAAAACTTCTGTACGTAGTAATTATTATTATTCTGTGGTAGATACTGCTTACTGACTGTCCTTTGGTATACATATTTTATATGTGTATTTTTTACAGAAAGCATGCGCAAGCGAAAAAAAAGTCGAGAGGAAATTATGCAGATACGAAAGCTTAGACAGCGACAAAGGCGAGCAATGATCAGGAACGATCCTGAACTATACGCGGCATATAAAGAAAAAGAACGACAAAGATACCTCAAAAGGAAGAGGGAAGGTAAATTATTGCCAGTTAGTCAAGAAACTCCTGAACGTAAAAAACAAATAAGAAGGCGCAACAGGGAAAACTTAAAGGCGTATAATCAGCGACGAAAGCAGAGCGAAGCTTTGGAAAATGAAGAACTCAGTCCATATAAAATTAAAGTGGAAGTACACAGCGAAGCCCAGATACGGTCTTCCATCGATTCGGAGTAATAAAAATCACACAAACATGGTAGAGACGGCGTCAAATAGTTTGTGACACCCACTGACCAAAAAGTTGATAACACCACCTTCTNTTGATTGCACTGAACAATTTATAACTATTTCTATTCTATAAATATCTATTTGGCTACTTTGGGTGTCACAACTATTTGACGCTGACTGTCCGAGCCGACCAAACCCATTGTCACCCTACTGTCTGGCGTTGTCCGCACCGTACCACAGAATTGATGGCTACCGTTCTTGGGACGTGATCTCCGCAACAGACAATCAGAAGAGGCTGCGATCGCGTGATATCTAAGCAGCTAATGGACCTCTGTTCTTACCCCTACCGTTAAGTTTTAAACCATGTATTTGTCAAATAGGTCGATTCATTGTAATAAATGTATTCACAAGTTGAACTAGCATTTTTCTATTAAACACTGACTGTACCCAGCTCTTCTGACAGTCAAAAGATAGAGAACAAAAGTGCGTAGCTACCGAAAACCAACCACAGGCAAATTGCTTTACCTCCACCATCCGTTCCATCCAAACAGCACAAGACAAAACTGTTTATTGTATTTAGTTATTTTGTAGACAACTATTAAGTCTTATGGCAATAAATATTAAGTCCGCCACTGTACAGTTGTATGTGCAAAAGTGTAAATAAATAAAAAAATTATAAATATGTTTAATTTTTGAAGCATTTTTTTTTAATTTACGTCACGCCCAAAAATTACTTCATAAATCCAAAACTAGACACTACATTGAAGTGCCAGATACATAATACGTATGTGTGTACACTTCCATTATAGACCATTAGCGATTTGAATACGAAAAGTGATCTTAATCTGAAGATTTTGATTTTGATTGCAGGCTGTTCCTGATTTACTCGACATTTCTATAAATATTTTATTTATTTATTTTTATTTTTCTTTATTCAGAAAACCACAGCTCATTATAGTAATAATACAAACAGGTATTTTTGTTCTTACAGCCAATAATAAAAAAAAAAAATGTTTTCTACTGAATACTGTCAATTGACTAAAAATAAAACTAATTTACTTACAGATAGTATCGAGTATAGAGTTATTCAAGCGCCAAGGAGTGGAACATACATCATGATAGGTGGCTACACATTTTACCATTTAAACAAAAAATACAAAATCTGGGTATGTTCTGATAAAACAAAAAGAAACAAATGCCTTGCTAAGGTCAGGGTGGACGGTGACGTCATCACTCCATTTAGCCTGCAGCACAACCACCCGCCTCCTCAATACCATATTACGAAAGATGGAAAATACTTCAAAATTTGATAGTACAACATTCTGCTCATCTATACTAATATTATAAAGAGGTNAAAGAGGCAAAGTTTGTGTTTGTATATTTGTTAAATAAAATTGTAAGGGGTAATCTCGGGATCTACTGAACCAATTTTAAAAATTCTTTCACCAATAGAAAGCCACATTATTGCTGAGTGTCATAGGTTATAATAACCGAAAAATTCCACGCGCGCAAAGCCGCGGCGGAAAGCCTAGTTATAGATAAGTAGAATATTATAGTCTAATTATGTTTTCTGACAATAACTAATTTAAGTATTTAGTACGTTATTTTATAACTGTTAGTAATACATTCATATGATTTTTGTTTAATTTTCCCATCTAATTTAATATTAAATGTATGCGTGGAAATGAGTGTTTTCTTACCCTCAGCATTTGATATTTCCTGTGTAAAACTAACATTATAATAATTGAGATTTTTTTTTATCTTTTCACAGCAGTCGAGTAAAAGGATAAATATGGCGAACGGCAAGCAACTTGTTTTGATTGATGGATATAGTTTCTCGATCCTGTACAAAACTAAGATATGGAAGTGTTCCCAAAGAAAATGCGAGGCTAAAATCAAAATAGACGGAGAGTCAGCTTTTGCATTCTCTTTAGAACACAACCATCCCAAACCTAACTTTAATGTTACGAGAGATGGACACTACGTTAGACTTTAAATTAATGTTATTTTTCAAATTCCTAATAATAATGTATGAAGTATTAAAAACTAAATAAATTATATAATATATAACTATATATATTATATAATTATATACTATATAAATATACATATGTTATATATATATAGAGTATATAAAATTAAATACATAGGTATAAATGTAGGAAAAACGACTTTTGTGTGTAACGGAACAGTGGGATGACGGATAAAAGATAGTGATTTGAACGCTGAAGATGAGGAATGATTGGTATATGGAGGAAACTGATGAATGAGGAACGAGGATTGAGAGTAAGAATAGTAGTTTGAATGTTTAAAAAGAAGAGAGTGTGTTGTAGACTACGTAATACGGAAGACGAAGTAGTGTGTAACTATTATAGTAAAAGACGTGTAATACTATTCTAGTGAAGAGAAATAATAATATATCCAGTTATCACACTCCATTGTATTTTTTATTGGATAACTCCCACTTCCCACATAAATATAGACGGACAATTTAATTGAGATTTTTTTATCTTTTCACAGCAGTCGAGTATAAGAGGATAAATATGGCGAACGGCACGCAACTTATTTTGATTGATGGATACAGTTTCTCGAACATGTCCAAAAGTTATATATGGAAGTGTTCCCAAAGAAACAAGAAATGCAAAGCTAAGATTAAAATAGACGGAGAATCTGTTTTTGCGTTCTGCCTGGACCACAACCATCCCAAACCTAACTTTCATGTTAATAAAGATGGACACTACGTTAGAATTTAATTCAATTTTATGTTTTTATGTTCCAAATTACAAATAATAATGTTTATAAGCTAATTACATTTTAGGTAAAATAAATAAATAAGCATAAATATAGACAGAGGACATTGACCAACTTCACACAGTATGAGAATAGAATAGAATAATCTTTATTGCTACAACTAAAATAGACACATGCAGCCATGTCATGCCACCACTTTAGACGTGTCTCTATTTGACATAGGTACCTAAAGTAACAACTGACTAGATATATGTCATCTTAACCAGCCCTAATAGATGCGGTTTTGTAACAAAATATAAAATCCGAAGTTTTATTAGTTCTAAGTACTTGAGGAAACTATATTATAACTGGATCAAGATGTAATCTAAATACTATTTAAGAATCGCATGCTTACAATCTAGTGTTATTCAATATTAATAGTGGAACACAAAAAAACTCTTCTTAGTTTTGGGCTTGTAAATTAGTGTGAAAAATTTATGAATGTGTGCTAGCAAATGTAAAATTTTGTGAATGTGTTTCTCTTGATTTACTTAAAGCCATGGTTCATATCTTTCTTTATTTTGAGTTTTTTTATTTTTATTTGGGACTTTTAAATATCGGTTGTTGGAAAACAATTAATGATTGATTATTATAATCTTAATATACATTATATAACTCAAAGACTGACTGACATTGTGATCTATCAACGCACAGCCCAAACCAATGGATCGGGCTGATATTTGGCATGCAGGTAGATGTTATGACGTAGGCATCCGCTAAGAAAGGATTTTACGAAACTCCACCCCTAATGGGGTGAAACACGCGTACGAAAACGCGGGCGGCCGCTAGTTATGAATAAAATTAAGATTACTAACAACTAATTCGAGTTTCATTGACATTACAAAGATTTTGGTACACAAAAGAGAAAATCTAAGCATAGTGCAAAAATTAACCATTCATTTCCATATTTTCAGAAATCAAGTACAAATTAATAAATGCTGAAAATGCTGGAAAAAGTGGGAAACTGGTCATGGTAGATGGTTACACGTTCTACAAACCGAACAAGATCAGCAGGATGTGGGTGTGCTCCAAGAAGACCAGAGGTGACTGTTCTGCTAAAATCAAGATTGAAGGTGACGTCATCATTCCATGTTGTCTGGATCATAACCATGAGCGCCCCAAATACCATATTACGAAGGACGGACAGTACATTAAAATTTAACTCACACACAGAATAGTCGATTCTTTCCACAAACTTATTATAGGTAATTAAACGCTATTTTTTGCTTATTCCCAACGAGTCACACCTAAACAAGTAACACTGTTACTCGTTGGGAAAATAATTCGTATCCAGTCACAATGTTACTGATTCACACATTAGGTACCCTGTAGGTTTTGTAAAATCCATGGGTGGCGCTATGGCGGCCGCATAATATGCTCGGTGGTGTAGCGGGATACGCGGGGGTGGTGCGGGCGGTAACAAGCGCCGTCACGAAAGTTTTAGGAGACGTTTGAACAAGGTTTTTACTAATAAAGTAATAGTTAAAATTGTGTTTTATATTTTTCTTGATCTTTTATATGATTACTTTTACCACCCCTGGGATGGGCGATGTTTAACAAAACCACAAACTGTGTTAATATCACGATACTCGTATAAGAGATTTCGTTACAAAGAAACTAAGGTAAATACAAAATACATTAAAAATAAAAATATAAAATACTCAAGTAATCTTAAGCTTACTGTAAGAAAATACAGGTTACAGTGTGACCAAAACCTACGGCTGTGTAACTGTGTGACTCGTTGGGAACAAGCGCTATCGTCATACATTCCTTGAGTTACCTAGACTTATTATGTTAGGAATAGGTAGTTCCTAGGAATAGGCTTACCTACTTTAATGCTAGTTAATTAAGCTACCATAATTGATTATACTCGTAGCAAAGCGTCTTTGATAACTTATAGCGAAGACTACCAAGCTTCATTGTTTGTTTGTTTGTTTGCTTCATTCTGAGTTTAGACTAGGCGCAGACCAACGATTTTTAGTTGGCCGATAGTTTGGCCCGATTTTAAATTGCATGAAGAATCGGCCAAATCAAATCGGTGTAATGTGCGCACTTCCATACATGCCCATACTGATCAACTGCCCGACTAAATTATCGGCCGACGAAAAATCGATGGTCTGCGCCTAGGCTTATAATTACTAAGGGTACTTACCTATTTAATTTGTATTCATAGAATAATAAAGCCTAGATAGATAGATAATAAGCGCACGAAAAATAAGGCAACTTTTAGTGGATCATCACTTTACGGGATTTATTGCAACAATATCTAATAGTGAAGTGATAATTCTATAGTAAAAATGCAACATAATAGTTTAAAATATTATATTTTAGTGGATGATTCTTGTCCACTTGAAACTTTTATTATTTTAATGAAATGTTTTATTAAATAACATTTTATTACGATAAATGTGGATAAAATTCTCTCACTTTTGAAAAAATCGCTTTTTGCCTCACTTTTGATGAAGCGTTTGTATGAAAGATCTAGGCTTTATAATTCTAAGTTTGTATTTATAAATTAAGCAAAATCTCTGATTTAAGTATAATTACAAGTTGTAATACTTGAAAATAAAGTAAACCACTTTAATAAATGCTGTTTAATAATATCCCACCAAAGAAAGCTCCATCAAGAATTAACTACAGAATTTATTACTTACATGAAATATGTACTTTCAGGAAAGGTGTACAAAATAATTAGCCGTAGGAAAGGCAAGCAACTGGTCATGGTAGATGATTATACCTTCTATAAGACGAACAAAAACAGCAAGGTCTGGGTGTGCTCCAGGAAAACCAGAGGAGACTGTTCTGCCAGGATCAAGATTGACCGTGGCCGCTTTTTCCCATGTTGTCTGGATCATAACCACGAGCCTCCAAAATTCCATATTACGGAAGAAGGACAGTACGTTATAAGACGAACAAAACGTTTAAGCAAAAGTACTACAAAATAATATTTGACGTATTTAGTTCCAAAAACTCGTATTTTACTTAGTTTTTCTTATTTAGTTTATGCACACTACACCACAACCGTCACTTGAACGCCTGTCTCGCGGTTGTTGTCTTCAGGCTATTGCTGAAAATCACTTCACTAAAAATTGCTGAGCGATTGCCGTTTTTGTGTTGCTGCGTGCGACACACATTTATTGTAAAAATTTGTACCTATCACTATGTGTTCATATTTGATTGTTGAGTTTATGTGTACTTATTTATGTATTGAGTTTAAACTAACAATGTTTTTGCTGCTTGTTTTAATTAATTTTGAATATGGGTACCAATTATAATTGATACTTTTGTCATTATTTATTTAATAAAATGTTTTTTTTTTCTATATAATTATCACAAGTTCCTCTTCATAACCAGAAACACAATTTTGTTTTTTAGTAAGTAATTGTGGCCTACATAAATTACTAATATTCCCGTTAAATCCTGCACCTAAGCTAAATAATATGCTTGTGTTAGAAGTAGATTCGCCATAGCAAACCAACGGGTAATGGGATCGAACGACATTTTACATAGTATTTATGGAACAACAGGTGTTGTTCCATAAATACTATGTAAAAAGCTTCGTTCGTTCGTTTCAGCCGAAAGACGTCCACTGCTGGACAAAGGCCTCCCCCAAGGATTTCCACAAAGACCGGTCCTGCACCGCTCGCATCCAGGCACCTCCCGCGACCTTCACCAGATCGTCGGTCCACCTATGGGAGGCTGCCCATGCTACGTCTTCCAGCTCGTGGTCGCCACTCAAGAACTTTCCTGCCCCAGTGGCCATCAGCTCTACGAGCTATGTGCCCCGCCCACAGCCACTTTATTTTAGCGATTCTGCGAGCTATGTCAGTCACTCTGGTTCTCCTACAAAAAAAGCTTACGGTGAAGAGAACATCAAAAAACCCAAGATTTAAAACTTCTGCTATTGCTTACAAGAAACATAACTATTTTCAGGGATCGAGTACAAATTAATACATGGAAAAAGCGGGCCATTGATCATGATCCACGGTTACACGTTCAACAAGATAAATAAAAACAGCAAGGTGTGGGTGTGCTCCAGGAAAAGGAGAGGCGATTGTCCCGCCAGGATCAAAATGGATCATGACCTTCTAGTTTCATACTATCTGTATCATAACCACGAGCCCCCGAATTATTTTATTACTAAAGAAGGACAGTACATTAAATTCAATTAAAGAAGAACACTTATCAAACTCGAAAGAGATCGTAACCGTATCAACTCCAGGCGGTCAGTATTCTATATATGAAACGCGCGAATGACGATGATAGCTCGCGGAAGGCGATACGGTTCCTTTCCGATCCTTTTCCGAGTTGATAAGAGTCTGCTATGACCTTAAACGTTCAAACTGAACACTAAGTTCCTAGTTCCTAGTCATAAACAGAAAAACAATTTTGTTTGTTTGTTTCTTATCAATTTTTAAATAGTATTTTGTATTTATAAATTAAGCAAATTGTTTGGTTTTAGTACGTATACTTTATACTAACAAAGAAAATTAACCACTGCAATAACTGGATAACTGGAGTGCAATATATGACTTACATTTTTGTAATGTTTGTTTTTTGTGATCTGTTGTTGTGCCTAAATAAATAAATAAAAAATACACTCCTGTTTGTTAAACACATACTTTAGGCCAGTAGAATTAAACACAAAAATGAATTAAATCGGAAATAATACCTACTAAAGATTTTAGTGCTTTAATGGCTTCATTAGTTGCCCATAAAGACTCTCCTAGGTTTTCGACTTCGACGGAGTTGTGCTTAAGTGGTGGGGGCCCCCGAAAGGGGCGCTTTTTCGGTTTTCCGGTTATACCGCGTAAAGGACTTACCCTATCGAAAAGTGGTCTTCCTGACGGTTGAAGGGCATTTAATCCTGCATTAAATAAGACCAAATTCATATGTTTTGAACAAACCGTTCTCGTGCAAATGTTCGGCAAAGTAGAAAATATGTGTATAATTAATGACCCTCTCCACGTCCAATGGCTCGTTACCCACAGGCCTCCAAGTCTTGAAAAGGAGCGCCTCAACCAGTGTAACCCTATCAAGGCTTACGAGCTGGATGCGCCTATCCTTGTTCGTCCCAGCCGTTCCTTAACTGCGGTTGCTGCACCTCTTCCTGGCACTCACCTGAACGACTCTGTGTTACCTACTGTGGCTGCTCCTCTTCCTTGTATCCTCCTGCACGACTACGTTGCCTAGCCGTATGCCTGGTCTAAGGTTCGACGCCAAAAATCAACAACAACAAGTTCATATTAAAACGCTGAAGAGTTTTTTGTTTGTTTGTTTGAACGCGCTAATCTCAAGAGTTGCTAGTTTGATTGAAATAATTATTTTTGTGTTGAATAGCTCATAAATTGAGGAAGGCTATAGGATATGTACAATCACTCTACGTCTAATAGAGGCGAAGCAGTAAAGAAAAATGTTGCAACCACGGAAAATAGTATTTAAACCATTTTCACGCGTACGAAGTTGATTTTGTGGCGTCGAACCTTGGACCAGGCATATGGCTAAGCAATGCAATCGTACAGGAGGGTACAAGGAAGAGGGGCAGCCACATTAGGTAACACAGAGTCGTTCAGGAGAGTGACAAGAAGAGGTGCAGCAACCGCAGTTAAGGAACGGCTGGAACGAACAGGGATAAGCGAATCCAACTCGTGAGCCTTGACAGGGATACGCTGGTTAAGGCGACCCTTTACAAGGCTTGGGAGCCTACGGGTGACGAGCTATTGGACGTGGAGAGGGTCATTAATTATACACATATTTTCTACTTTGCCGAACATTTGCACGAGAACGGTTTGTCCAAAACATATGAATTTGGTCTTATTTAATGCAGAATTAAATGCCCTTCAACCGTCAGGAAGACCACTTTTTGATAGGGTAAGTCCTTTACGCGATATAATCGGAAAACCGAAAAAGCGCCCCTTTCGGGGGCCCCCACCACTTAAGCACAACTTCGTCGAAGTCGAAAACCTAGGAGAGTCTTAATGGGCAACCAATGAAGCCATTAAAGCAATAAAATCTTTTGTAGGAATTATTTCCGATTTAAAATCTAATTCTACTGGACTACTTACCCTACGGAGATTTTTTGTAAGAAAAAGTACAAATTTAAAATATTAAAGCTCCACCAAGAGATTATGGCAAAAAATTACCATTGCAATTGTTTACATAACTTATCTACATGAAACATTACTTTCAGGAATCAAGTACACATTATTAAATTATGGAACAAAGGGAAGGCAACTGATCATGATAAATGGCTACACGTTCCACAACCCGAACAAAAGATGCAAGATCTGGTTGTGCTCTAAGAGAACCAGAGGGAACTGTACTGCTAAATTCAGGATGGACCATGACGGCCTTACTCCATGGTCTCTGGACCATAACCATGAACCCCCCAAATATGAAATTACGAAAGAAGGAAAGTACATTAAAAAATCTGAGTTTAAACCAAACCAGACTCGTGACTGTGAAATCTATGAAGATTTTAGTTCTTGAATGTAGCCGCTAAGGGCGCTGTACAATTTGTCATTCATTTAATGTAATTTTTTACTTTTCGCTAGCGAGCACACCTAACGTAAACTCATGGTAAGCACACTATTCATCTCCGCGAGTATGCATCGAAAACAACATACGTATTTCATTAGTGTCGACACCGCCTTCCCCTTCATATTTGTTTTAAGTAACTGTCCTCTCCATAGGTTGTCTGGAAGAGATCGCTTCTTCATAGCGATAAGACCGCCTAGTTGTACCTTGTGTGTTCCTTTTCTTTCTGTTCTTATCTTTGGTGTGCAATAAAGTGTATTTATTATTATACGCACAGCGTACTCTCCTGGGTGTAGTGACGTAAGCGCGTGTATTCTTCAACCATTGTAAAAATAATATTCAATATGGAAATAAGAAAACATACGCATGTGGTGCGCTAGATAGCGACACAGTAGCTTCTTGTAACCCTTGTCGACCCTATCGCATAGGCGAAGTACCGATCATAAAATTTCAAAAATCACAAAATTAACTCTCTCTCCTAAACTAAGCAAAATCGTAGAACATAGGTACATGGGGGTGATTAGACACCTTGATGTAAGGAATCTAAATTTTAGCTTTGAACGTCAACTCCCTGGCCACCCTGTATAAAGTGGGGATGATTTTTTTTTCATATTCATTCCCTCTTGGGGGGTATCGTTGGATAGGTCTTTTAAAATGACTTAGGGGTTTCCAAAACAATTTTTAGATTTAATGATTCGTTTACAAAATATTAAAGTTTAAAGTGCCAATTTTTCTTCGAGTAGGGCGTCCCCCCCTCTACATACTAAATTGTTAGCTTGAAAAATCTGGAAAAAATCATGATAACAGTGCTTTTAATGAACTTTTAAGGAAAACTATAACGGTTAAGATAGATTATTTAGTTTAAGAGTAAGTAATAGTCGTTTAACTCATGTATCATAAATTTTCTTAAAAATTCCTTCATATGTACCATCCTAGACCGCATCCCACTTAACATCAGGTGCGATTGTGGTCAAATACCTGCCTTGTTATGCATAAAAAAAAAAAAAAAAAATCCTTAGAAAAAAATTGAAAAGTGACTAGATGAAGTAATTGCTAGCTTCTGAAATATATTGTGGTAACGACGGACAACTATGGAACCAATTTAACACGCACATGGCCAATTTTTTTAAATACCTTTCCGAATATAACTTTCTGTCATAGTACTTATTATCATTCTGTGGTTCGACTTTCCACATCAAAAGCCTAACAAGAGACGGACAAGTTTTACGAGAAAATATTCCGTGACAAGTCCGTGAATAATGGAAACACAGCAAACCTATTGCAGCTTTGTCATATATTCATAGGATTAGATTTGAATGTTAGGAATAGGTACTACAAGCTTGCTTTATTTAACCTTAAAGCATTATAATATTTAAGATTTGCAACTAACTGTGTAAAATTTTATAACCATAATAATTGATTAAGACTAGACATTATTTGTAATGTAATCTAATATAACTATTTATTTAAATATAATAAATATGAAAGTATGTAATACCAGTCTACATTTATTTATTGCGTTTTCTAGCCATACCAAGACCCAAATTACCCTAAGGACAGTTTTATGGGATCCAGTGATCCCGATGCAAACGGGAAGTTCGTATGAAAGTTATATCAAAACATGATAGGTATAACCTGTGATATAACCACTAAATGGAATCATATCAAACGCCGGGGAAACAAGCAGTAATTTTACAGTTGCACACAAAACTAATTTCAGTTTCTTTTTCAGAAATAGAACTTAAAATGATAAAAGTGAAAGGTGGTTCAATAACGCTGGCCATGATTAACGGGTATACTTTTTCCAAAAAGGTCGCGTCCAACATATTATGGTTCTGTTCCAAGAAGAAAGGGCGCCAATGCGAAGCTAAAGTGAAGATACAAAACGACTGCATTATCCAAGCATTCAGTCTTGAACATAACCACCCACCAGACCGGTACCACGCTTACAAGGATGGAACGTACTTAAAAATTTAATCTAATAGTGCCTGTGTGCCAAGGCCAACGCAGAGTACCTAAAGAGAAACGCGGGTCTCAACGCGACATTTTTAAAATAACTCTCCTTCTGGCGCAGTCGGGTAATGAGTTATATTATACAGGGTGGAATTTTGTAATGCCACCTGGAGGGAAAGTACTCTTAATATTTTATATAAGAAATTTTACTCAAAGAAAACATTCCTTTATTTTTGAAAAGAAAGAACTGCATTTGAAAGATTTTCTAAATTAAGTAAACTTAACTTACGGCTTGACGGTTCGGCTGCTATGCTGCCGCCGTGGTCACGAACAGACTGGTTGCCCTTAGCGCGCGTCATCCGTTCGTGCGGGCTTGATTTCTCTATTTTAGTTAAAATGGAACGCGAAAGTTTAAAATCTTATATTACAAGCGGATACTTATGGTCAGGCAGATATTTTATACTACAACTAGCTGTTGCGTGAAATTTAGTGTCACAGATCGGCATAAATTATAGCCTATATGTTAATCTGGGTTACAAACAATAATACTGTAAAGTTTCGACAAAATCCGTTCAGTAGTTTTTGCGTGAAAGAGTAACAAACATCCAGACATCCAGGCATCCAAACTTTCGCATTTATAATATTGGTAGGATAGTAGGATTTCCCGGTTTCCACCAAGGCAAGGCGGAGGAGAGAAGTGTTTTCAAAGTCAAAGTTAACCCAGAACTAAGTAATGGGTAGTTTCTTAATTTAATTGTTTACTTTCTTAGATAATATTTATATGATTGTTACTTGCTGTGTATAGATAAATTGTTATACTAACTTTGCTGTACCTATCTAATAGATATGACATTTTATTTACTGCTAGCAGAGG